GAGGCCCCCCAAGAGGCCCCCAGGAGGCCCCCAAGAGACCCCCAAGAGGCCCCAAGATACCCCCCAGAGGCACCCAAGGTGCTCCCAGAGGCCCCAAGATGGCCCCAAGAGGCCCCAAGAGGCCCCCAGGAGGCCCCAAAGAGGATTCCGAACGGCCCACAGAGGCCCCCCCGAGGCACCCAAGACGCCGAAAAGCCCCTCAGGACGACCCTCTACTCGCCTGGGCGTCGTTTCTGGACGGGCTGGTGGGGATACGCGAAGCGTCTAGAATTGTTATCATCATTCGTATTACCAGTATGATTATTACTCATGATAGTATTATCATTATCGCTATTATCATTACCATCAGTATTGGCATTATTCTTGTTATCATTATCATGATCATTCGTATTATGATTATGCTTATTATTATATTTACATATGCATTACGACTTCTGTTGCAAAAATTGGGGGGGATGGGGATGGAAGATGGGGATGGGGACAAAAGACCTCCCGGGGCGACGAGGAGCCTCCCGGAGGCTTCAAAAACAAAATTCGAATGACCTCTGGGGACCTCCGTCCTCGAAGCTCGGCCTTAGAGAGAAGCCCTCCAGGAGCCTCGATCGGCGAGGGGCAAGAAGGGGGGGGGAGGCAGAGGAGCGAGGAGCCATGAGATCCTGGCGAATCAATTTTTTCGAGCCGGACGTTTTTGCCTTTTTTCGGGCCCCGGACCTTCACAGATGGATCTAGCTCGGAAAATGGCCCAGAAAGATGGGGTCTGGGGCTCCAGTCGTGATTGCTCATGATGTCTCAATTTTTTCGAAACGTCGGATCTCAAGGAGGGCAGGCGGGGGAGGAGGAGCTCAGCAGGGGCGTGGTCCAGCATGGCGAACAGCAGGAGGAGTGAAGAAAAGGCACGGGCGTCGCCTCCCCCCCGCCCCCCAGCCCTCCCCCTCCTCGTTCCTGTCTCCCCACAACGACGGCGGCCCAAACGAGAACTACGCCGACGACGCCGGCGCCAAGGCATACGCCGAAAACGACGATTAC